CAATTTTCTCGTGAGATATGATGTTAGCCAAAATGTTCCCACCACAAATTGAACGTCAGCCAATATGGCATATAAGGAGACAATTGATTAAGAAAAAATTATATGGTACTTGACACATTGTAAAAGTATCTTGTATATTCTGGCCAAAAAAAAGTATCTTATACATAGCAGCGAAGCAAGTAGTTTGTATTGGGGGCAATAGCCTTATATTTCAACTGATATTGCAGCATAAATGTTTAAGAGTTATTGACTTTTTCATGGAGTTTAAGGGGCTACGGTCACTGCAGGCCTGTATTTTTCACATATTTTAACTTATCTTCGAATATCCCATATTTTTCTTTGAATAAACCTTAATCGGGATAGTCTTCTCAAAACAACCATCATCCCAAAACTGCAAGAAACTGTCAAAATCACCCCAAATAAATAAATAAATAACTAATTAAAATTGTAAAGAGTTTTCAATTTTAACAAGTATGCAACAAAACATTTTGGCTGTAAAATCATTACATGCCCCTAATGTTGTATTACAATAATGTTACATACTCAAACAAAAAAATTTGGCTACGTATGACCAGTGGCGGACCTAGAAATTTTATAGCGGAGGTGCAATATTGACTAAGTATGAAAAATGGTTTTTCGGAATAATCATTTTCTCAAGATAATTTTTGGCGGCTTTTATTCCTTACACATCAAATAAGAAAACTTGATTTTATGGGATTTTAGTATGAAGTATATATTGACTTAATGAGCCATCATTTTTAGCCTAAATCGTATTTTGCACTAAAACCGAATTTTCATATTTTGATTTGGTGGAAATTTGATTTTCTAGTATTTTTATTTGAATCCAAATGGGGGGTACTTCCTTATTTACATTGTAAACTTACTGGATCCGCCAGTGCGTATGACCTAGACATTTGACCCTTGAAGTGGGACATTCTCTTTTTTTTTTTTTTTTTTTTTTCCGGCGTTGCTCAATATAACACTAGAAGTAGAACAGTGAGAATTTGATGCCTCGTGGAACTCTTTCTTAGGGCACACTTGTAACCTAATTCATCAGTTTAAGACATACGTGTTAAAATTTCATCAAGGCCAATTAGGACATTCGGGTGCTGCATTATATCATGAGTCTCTTTCTTTGTTGGTACATCTATCAAAGCCCTAGAGATTATCCCGCCATCATTCTTTTTTTTTTCTTTTTTATTTGCCCAAGTTACTGTCCTTGGAAGAGTTATTTCAGGAGGAAATCACTTAATTTTGTTGGTTAAACTTATCTCTTATCTCTAATATATTATATAATAGCCTTCATTTATTAGAAGAGGTCAAAATTTTATTGCAAAATTAGGCAATTCTCTAAAAAGCATTCGCAATAATTGTTCAGTGGTTTAGTTCATTTCATTTCAATTCAATAGTTAAATTTATTGAACTTTTTTTGCAGCTATTGAACTGAATTGTTGTTTGACTTGCAGTGGAGCAATTCAATAAATTACAAATTAAAAGTTATATTTTTTTAATATCTTTTTAAATGATTGAATAAAATAAATTAAATTACGATAAGACTTATACAATTAAAATAGTTTCAAACAGATCTTTAAAAAGATACCAATTTTGAATATATATATACATATAAAATTAATAACAAAACTTTCTTTGGTTTGTGACAATATTATGTTATTGTACAAAGTAATATTGTTTATGTATCAATAAGAGAGAGGCTGTATAGTTATTATGATGGGTCAGCTTATTGAAATGAACTATTGATACCTGAAATGAAATATTAATCTCTGAATTGAACTGAACTTTACTACTGCAAATAAAAAATTCAATTTATTAAAATAAAATTGGATTGATCCTCATCATCGTAGATACTCTAATAAAACATTTGAAATTAATCAAATCAGGAAGCAGATTTCCTAAAACAATAGCATTTATTTTGATGACCTAAAGATGTGGTGGAGTTCCAAAGTTTGTCTAAAATAAGGTAGTGGCTTTTGAATGTAGACAAGCTTGGTCCTAGTGACGGCCCAAATTTTAGTCCTAATTCTTTTCCAAATCCTATTAATCGTGGACCTAATTGGTCATGATCATTAATGACACAGTGTTCGAAAGATGCATCCTGGTTTTCAATCCTGCTTAGACTTGTATTATGTGTATTTTGAACATGAAAACGTATTGATTAAGTTTGACTAATTTTTCTTCAATTTTCTCGTGAGATATGATGTTAAGACTAATAAACCATGCATAAAAAGTTCCCACAACAAATTGAACGTCAGCCAATATGACATTTTGACGAAATAATATGGTATTTTGACACGTTGTAAAAGTATATTGTAATATCTTATCGTTTATTAAAACAAAACAAAACAAAATTAAGCTACAATAAGAAGATCGAGATGGATGCATTAATTTAACCTTTCAAATCTCATTCCTTCCAAACTCAAAAAAAGAAGAACCATTCATGGAAAAGTAATACAAAAAATTCATCTTCGGTTTATAACAATTGTTTCCGTAAAATATCAAAGGGTCTTGGTCTCATAAACCAACTTAAAATAACCAAAGTACACTAATTAACATAAGATGGTCGAGATAGTTTTGGTTGGAACTTGTCATTTTGCTCATGCGAAAATAGATTTGGTTTGGAACGAATATTCTAGATAGTTTGGTTTTTGTATCTGCATTTCTACCCTCTTAGAAGGTCAGTTTGGATTCATATATAGGTCATCAGATCTCCCCGAAGCTGTGAAGCCTTCGATGGTGTTGATGGGGCTGTGATGTGAAGCTGTTCGACACAAAAATGGAGAGATGGAGGGATCAGACACAAAAATGAAACAATTTTTTAGCAATACTTTTATTTTTATTTTTTTCACATTTATTCCTTCGATTCACCAACCTACTTTGGAGAGAGAGAGAGAGAGAGAGAGAATAACGAGTTTGTTTGTTCAGACAGAGAGAGAGAGAGAGAAGAAAAGGCAAAACAAAATGGTGATAGAGAAAAAGAGAAGTGCTGATTGTAAGAGAGAGAAAATTAACCAATTTTTTATTAGTTTTAATTATTAGAATATATAATTATATCTGTATCTATGTGGAGGTGGGTTTCACTTGCCACACCACCCCTTAATTGGTGGATAATTCATGTGTATGAAATTATAAAAAGCCACATCATCATAGTTAACAGACTTTTGGACGAAGTTGACGACATGGGCAAAGGGGGTCACCAAATCACGGTTAAGTAGGGTAAATGGACCACTTTAAGTTTAGAAGGCAATGTGAGATTTGACCGTAATTTCAAAGGGCATTGGTGTAAATAAACCATTCCAATATCCGTTTCCAATCACGTTTCAATGAAAGCCACAAAGATGGGTCTTTCAAGAAATGAGATATTGATCTAAAATCCTTTTGTTTAGATGACTCTGCTCAGAAATTGGAGGAAATGTGATGAAAAGGGTTGGACGACAATTATGCAAGTGTTCACGGCCAAACATCTTCCTCACCGTCCTCTGTGCCCACTCACTTTTCTCTTGAATAAGCATAAGGACTAGTACAAAAGCGAAGAGAAAACGACCAGTTGGCTAAAGTTGCTATTTTTAATTTTAAGCATTTTCAATTTCCGTTTTGTTTGTTTTGAAGTTTCAACAATAAACTTTAATTTTTGTTTTTGCATGCAAATTTTAGTTATGAACTTATTTATTTTATGAATAAGTGGTTTTTTATTTATTCAATAAGTTATGTATTTTATTTGTTAAATGTATTGAAAGAACTGTGGCTTTCCTTCTTCCTTAGCAATTCTTGAACAATCTTGTTCTCCTAGACCCTAGGGTCCATAGGAAGTTTTGATCACTCACCCTTGGATATAATCTAAGGGTTGAGAAAAAACTTATTTAAATATCAATATGTCATTATTTTATTATTTTTACTGTGCAAAATATTAATACAAATTTATAAATAAACCCAATCCTAGACATGTATTTATAAAAAAACCCAAACACTATTTAAACATAGAAACACACTCAAAATCAACCCCAAAGTCAACAATTGTATATTTTTTGGGTATGTTTATAAATGGGTTTTGAGTGTATGTAATGATGGGTTTTGGGTGTGTTTATGAAGTGTTTTGGGTGTTGGGTTTTTTTAAAATTTCAGCTCATATTTTGGGTGTTTTAGTGAAACTCCCAAATATTAATATAACTTAAACAAAAACAAAAAATGTAAAAAGAAAAAATCACTCCATCCATTCACACTTTAACGTGATTAGATTTAAAGGAAGTCATTTTTCTATTGTTCTCTGCCTTTGTGATCAATTTTCTGTTTATAAATGTTAGATTTGAATGATTCATGAACCAAGTTTGAGAAAATTTCAATTTTTTATAAACAAATTTTGGGCCCTTTTTATTTATTTATATATATTTTTTCCGATTCATGAACCCAGACTTGGGTCTCTGCAACTACATTGTATTTTCATCTATGATATTAAACTCCTTTTTAAAAAAAAAAAAAGTTTTAATAACCAAAATAATATTTTACTGCAGTAAAAGTAAAATAAAAGATGACATATTAATATTTAAACTTTTTTTTTTTTCTCAATCCTTAGATTAGATCTAAAGGTAGGTAACCACAACTTCCTTGGTTCAAGGAGAATAGAACTAAATTCTTGAAACCAGAAGCAGTACTTTTATTATATTGATACACCCACCCACCCAACCTCTAGTACGTTCTCCCGAACAGCACTTCCACCCATTTGCTATGGCAAAGGACAAAAGTAAGTAAGGACAGTTACTGTTCACATGAATTTATCTGTCATATCAATTTTGTTTGCACTTTTCCACCCATTGCCATGGCAACTCAAGAGCAATTACTATTCACATGGGATTTTATGTATGAGATTAATAAATAAAAATTTGCTAAGTATGTATTTAAAAAAAATTCTGAATTTTTAAATAATTTTTAAGAATTTTTTAAAAAAAATTTCGCTGATGTCAGTGCCCCTCAGACAGCAGCTCGGGCTATCTTCCCTTGGGCCTTGCCAGTCTTGCCCGGATTGGATGTCACCTCTGGAGCTGATTTTGGGAGACCAGGGGAGGCTTTTGCCTGGGCTGGGCTCTTGGAATCCATTCGTCCAAAAAAATCCTCTCCGAACCCAATATCATCGTTCCCCTTGTAGTCTCCCTCATATGCCCTAGATTGCTCATCTGCTGTCGGCGGTCAGGTACTGTTCTGTAGCAGCGACGTCGTCTATCAGGTACTGTTCTCGCCTCTGGAACTGAGTCGTTAAATCTTCCGTTCCACTATGGGGGGGTGAGCGAATTAGGCAACTATGCAGCTAACTTATCTTTTCTTATTCTGGGTTTGGTAATGTTTACTTCTGGCTCACCCCAATACAGGCCCGGCTGCATATAAGACCAGTGTGTTAAGAGCTTCCGAATTTAGTTTCCAATTTGTCATAGTTTTTGTTTTGTTTAGGGTTTAAGTTCTTACTGTTGCACTTTTTAATTTAGTTTTTTTTATTATTCACAAGTGGGTTTGTTGTTGAGTTCTAGTTAAATTTCATCAGGCTCTGCCCTGAAGCAGACTAGAGGGCCATGGTGAGGAAGAGGCCAAACATATTGGTGACGGGCACACCAGGAACGGGGAAGACAACAACATCGTCCGCCTTAGCAGAGGCAACACAGCTCCACCACATCAACGTCGGTGATTTGGTGAAGGCCAAGAATCTCCATGATGGGTGGGATGATGAGCTAGACTGTTACATCATCAATGAAGACCTGGTATGCGATGAGCTTGAGGATACCATGGAAGAAGGAGGGAAGATCGTGGACTACCATGGTTGCGATTTCTTCCCTGAGAGATGGTTTGATCTTGTGGTTGTGCTCCAAACTGACAATACCGTCTTGTATGACCGCTTGACTCGAAGGTAATTTTCTTCATCACTGCCTCTTTTCTAGTGCTGCTTCCTTGCGAATTGGAAAGGAAAACCTATGTTTATGGCCTTATTGTGGCAGAGGATATTCGGAGTCAAAGCTCTCCAACAATATTGAATGTGAAATATTTCAAACTTTGCTTGAGGAGGCAAAAGAGAGCTACCCAGAAGATATCGTGCTTCCCTTAAAGAGTGATAGCATCCAAGACATTTCGACTAATCTTTCTACTGTGGCAGAATGGGTCAGGAGGTGGCAACCCTCAACTTAGTTTCTTATGATATAGTTTTTGGTTGAGGGTGCTTGTTGGTTGGTTGGTCAGTTAGTTGGATCAAGCTTTTGAGATGGAGTTTTGATGTACTATTATTACGACATATTTGTATTCTCTCTCGTATCAGTTTTACCATTATGTTATGTGACTCTCTCTTGAATTGCAATTGTTCATTGAAGGGGTTTGATGGAATGAATTTTGTAACGAGGGGCATTCATGGTGACTAGAAAGTTGGTATGATCAAAAGATGCAGCCTGCAAATTGGCTTGAGTTTTGGTCCTGTTGGACTCTAGAAGAAGACCATCATTTCGTCCCAAGACACCTTCACTGGCAGCATGCTTTTGCTGCTACCCTTGAGATCTGCAACATTGAAGGGAAAAAAAATTAAGGCCCGTTTAATAATTCAATTTTAATTTTTAGTTTTCATTTTGTGAAAAAAAGAGAAAGAACGGAAGTGTGAATAAGAGTGAAAGAACGGAAGTGTGAATAAGAGTGAAGATGGAAATGATGGATCATACATAAAATTTGTCAATAGTTCATTGAAACTAGTACAAAAAATCATGTTCCTGAATTTCTGAAATACATAACCAACGCAAGTCTTCTTTCTATTTTTTCTCTTCACTTTAAGCTGGAAATAATGAGAGATATTTTGAACTAATTGCAGTTTTTAGGAGTATGGTCAACTTTTTATTTATTTATCAATATGTTCATATATGCAGATAAAGGTTATAATTGGTCAGCTCAAAACCAAGAGGGCAAAGTTTTGGTCAGGCTCAAAGATTTCTATGAAACTGGGATATTTTGCTATCTCCACCATGATAACATTTTCACACGACGTAGTATTACTATTATTACAGTCTATTCCCCCTGCAACCAACTTTTTCTCCAAACGAAGAGGGAAAATCGAAACTGCTGATTCACAGTCACATCAAGCAAACAAATATGCTGAGAAGAAGAGTCACATCCCTTCTCTCCACCACCATTCGCAGCTCCTCAATTCGCACTAAACCTACTCTCTCACCCTCACCAATCTCATTCCAATCCCTCCATTTCCTTCAATGCCCAAACCCTAACCCTAGCATTAGCAATGCCAAAGGGTTTGGCTTTCAGCCTCAGGGAATGAGAGCGTACAGTCTGCTGAGCTTGAACGATCTGAGAGGCAAGGTGCCCAGGAAGCAGAAGACGAGGAAAGGCCGTGGGATTGGGTCTGGTAAAGGCAAGACTGCTGGTCGAGGCCACAAGGGTCAGAAGGCTAGAGGCTCCGGGAAGTTGGGGTTTGAAGGTGGGCAGACGCCACTGCGACGTCGTTTGCCCAAGCGTGGGTTTAAGAACCCCTTTAGCCTTACTTTTCAGGTACCCTTTCTTTTCTTTTTCTTTTTCATTGTGTGTAATATGTATTGCTATTTGTTTGGTTGCTCTGAAAATGGTGGGATATGAAGGAAATGGAAAAATGGAGCGGTTATGTTGTTTATGGTGTTTTCCTGCTAGATGTATGCCACTGAAGATATGCTTTATGTATGAGTTTGAGCACAATTGGTCCCTTTTGATTAGAATAATTGAATGGTTAGTTTGTTTCATGTCTCTTAGACTTGGTGTATGCACAAAGAGGTTGATCAATTAACTTAGTCCTGTTATATTTGTTTTATTTGTCAATTCAGGTTGATATATTTAACAGATATAGGTTTGGGATCATCAATCATGTACTCTGTAAGATGGCCAAAGTGCTCTGGTTGTGTTTCTGTGTGTCGACACACACATCGTAAATGGTAGAAGCCTTTAGTAAATAATGAAATACTGAATTTATGCAAGCCCTGAGCTATGACCACCAGGGTTTTATGTTAACTGTGTGAATATGCCTCTTTTGATAGATAATAAGGGAAGTAGCTTCCAAAGGTGCAATGATAGTCAGTACTGAAATAAAGTTTGCTGCTATGGCTATCAGATTTATCATTTCCTTTTAATTGAATTTGAATCTATTGAAAGCCTTTTCTGTTTCTGGAGGATTTAATTGTATCACCTTAATTTCCATTCATTTTCTGATATTTTATACATGTCTTTGTGGCAGCCAGTAGGATTAGGAAAAATTGCCAAACTTATAAACGCAGGAAAGATTGATTCGTCTGAGTTGATTACAATGAAAACACTCAAGGTGCAGTAAATTCCTTCTCAGACTATTGAACCAATTCCTGCATCAACTTTGTTTCAATCTGGCAATTATTGTTACAATAGGATACAGGGGCAATAGGGAAGCAGATTAAAGATGGAGTCCGATTGATGGGACGTGGTGCTGAACAGATCCAGTGGCCGATTCATTTTGAGGTACGTGTTCATCTAGGCTTTCTACATGATATGAACTTGTATATTATCTTTCTTTTGGGGGGCGGTGTTGTGGCCATGTGTACGGTTCAAACATTATTTTCATAAAGCAGAACCATGTTATGACTGGAAAATGTTGATTGATCATGTTCATTAGTACCAAGTTTTGTGATGGCCTGAAATGTTTTCACTAAGTAATTTATTTCATATAAACATCTTTGGATGAAAGTTACTCAAGTAACTTTAGTCTTAGATTTCTTAAAACTAGTTTGCAGATAAATTTTAATTTGAGTAGGTCAGACTTTTGTTGGTTTTTTTTCACCTTAATTCTTTTGTATGTTGGTTTGTCAGGTAATCTCCAAGACTTTGATATTGACATTGACTTGAGTGTAACCTTGTGCACTTGATATCATTGTTGCCACTTACATGCAAATCATGCGAGCTTCCTCTTTTCCTTGCATGCAACTCAAAAATGGACTTACAAATGAGGTTTGCAGGTATCGCGTGTCACTGTGAGGGCAAAGGAAGCCGTTGAAGCTGCAGGTGGGTCTGTCAGAAGAGTGTATTACAACAAGTTGGGCTTTCGAGCATTGCTGAAACCTGAGTGGTTTGAAAAGAAAGGCAGGTTATTGCCAAAGGCAGCGAGACCTTCCCTAAAACAGAAGGACAAAGTCGATAGCATCGGCCGCTTGCCTGCCCCAACCAAACCTATTCCTTTTTTCACTGAAGAGGAGGTGGCCTCCAGTTCATCCACTTGACAAAAAGGGATTCTTTTTAGGATATTTGTACTTTTACAACGAGTTCCTTCACCTGTTTTGGATGAACTGTTCTCTTTCTTAAGAAACAGTAATTTTGTTACAAGGCAAAATGATCTGGAGGGATAAATGGAATGAGTAAAGCTTTTCATGTTGCCTCAGGCTTAGGATCAGCCTATTTCAGACTTCTGCACTTTCTTGTTCTCTAGAAAATGAACTTGATCATCAGATGCTTTGACATGGTTTAACAATTTTACTTGAAGCAAGTATCTACTTTTACCTTAGACGAAGGAATAACAAAAGCTTTGTTATGTAAATCAGAAACTCCGCATCGTAGACGAAGGAATGGTCATCTCACTTTTACCTGGATTGTGGCTTTATTGTCTTTGTGTTCCTAGTTTGCATCTTTTTACCGGTTTCAGTTTCGTTGTACTATAAATCCCCCTTTAGAAGCTCTTCTTAACGTACTTCATGCTGTGATTGCCTGGCTCAAAACTTGGGTTCAACAACAAATCTTTTACCGTTGCCGAAGGTTAAGGAGGATAAATCTTGCGTACAATTCATTTTTCACATTGAATCTCTTGCATGACTAGCATGGAACCAGCCTTCACTAGAATTTCTCTAGCATAAAGTCTTTTCCTCTTTTAAATTAAAGCAATTCTCTTTCAAAACCTTGTGCCTTGGTTGACTTTGAATTTCTGTTGTGATGCTCTCACCTTGGAAACTCAATGAGATCCTGCAATGGGCAGATCATAGTTCTCCTCAAGTAGGGTTTACGTCTTCCGTCTAACTTGCCTCAGTCCAAGCGCACCAAACAGAATTGAACCTGCAACTCCACCTCACTTTAACAAGCTTACTACAATATGAAAAAGGACGCATTTCTAGTTACTTTTAAGTTATTAGTTACTTCTTTTTAGTTTCCGATTGTAATTAGGAATTGATTTACTTTCCTGATTTTGGTTTAATTTTACTTTAAATCATGGCTTCGCTCATGTCAGATAGAGCGAGGAAGGAGCAATGGCAAGGACGCGATTCTAGGATACCTGAAGAAAAACGATCAAATATCAGACTCAAACTAAATTAATAATCTAAATTATTATAAATTAATCTAATATAAGGGGAAGGGGACTCAAACTTAGGTGTAAGAAGGTAGGCACGTTGCCCTGGCCAACTGATCTAACCCATGTATAACCCACAACTTGAGTTAAAACTTACAATATAAGTAATTAACATATACATTTCGCTTGTTTCTGAAGGTGCCCCTAGGCTTTTCATTGACTTAGTCTTATTGAGGAAATGGCGAGAGTTTTTAATTTGTATTTTAGGTGGATAAGTTATATTTTGATGAAAAATATCATTTTAAAGCTTGTCGCATGATTAGACGTAAGATATCATAACGAAAGTTTAGGATAAAATGCAATAATAGGAATCAAATGATTAAGGATTGACTTGAAAAAAAGAACCTTCATACAATTTAGGGCAAAGTACAAGAAAAGCCCTATAGTTTATTTATAGGTTCTTTGAACTTTATTTCATAAGAGTTCTCCCAATTGAAATTCGTTTTACATTCTCCAGATTGCTAAAGGAAAAAAGAAAAGAAAAAACGTATAAAAAAGTTGCTAAAAAAAAGGAAGAAGACCTTGGACATAACAGCCCTCCCAGCCCTCTTCTTCTTTTCTGAATTTCTTCTGCGTTCTAAATTCTACTCTTCTTCTTCTTCTTCAATTCTAATTTCTAGAAAAATCTTAACCCTATATTTTGGTCTACAATAGCTTTCATTAGCCACACACGGGCAAGGGAAAAAAGAGAGAACCATCTCACAGCGGATACCAGCTGCAAAAAAGTATCAGCTTCAGTTCTATCCTTTATAATTAGGTAAATTTCAATTTCATGAGTTTAATTTCAGCCCTTTTGTTTGATTCTTTTGATCTTTGAATTAATTATTGTCATAACTCATAAGCACATCGATGCCAAATTGATCTGGGTTTTAATATCTGAAAAAATCCCCCTTTTTCTTTATTTTGCTTCTCTTTATAATTTTTGTTGTTGAAATTTTGTGAATTCTGATTGGTATTTCTATGTTACCGTTGTGGAATGTTTTTGCCTAGAATTTAATTTCTATATCGAGCGGATTTGATTATTTTAATGTATGTAATGTATACCCAGATTTAAAGTATAACAGAGAATTGTGATTTAGTATGAAATTCTGGTTCAAATTGGAAAAAAAAAAAAAACAAACAAACAAAGATTAAAGCTATTATCTTTTGTTCATTGTGTTGGTTCACCATACCGAATGAATATAAAGATATGGGTACCCTGGATTTTTATTTCAGTTATATGCATTTATGCAACTTTTTACCTTCCCTCAATTGTTCACAGTTTCCTAACGTTTCATCACTAATTTTCACTAGCCAATACGAGCCGCAAAATGGACAACATTGTAGATTCTCTAAACAATGCATACCAAGAGTTCGTTGTTGCAGCAGCTAATGTCCTCGAAGCCAAGGAAACTTCTGGCGCCCAGAAAACAGCAGCTACAGATGCTGCTCTTGAGAATTTTAAGCAGAAGTGGGAACTTTTCAGAGTCACTTGTGATCAAGCGGAGGAGTTTGTGGAGTCTGTGAAGCAAAGGATTGGCTCAGAGTGCCTGGTGGATGAGGCAACTGGCTTGGTGGCTGGGAAGTCTGGGCAAACCGCAACTGGTCTTCCACCCATTAGTGCAGTTCGGTTGGAACAGATGAGTAAAGCTGTTCGATGGCTTGTCATAGAACTTCAAAATGGTTCTGGAACTGCTGCTGGTTCAGCACATTCTCATCTGTCAACTCCTTTTGATAGCAGATTCTCTGAAGATTCAGCTCAATAGGTATGAAGGTTCTTCTAAGCTCGTATTGAGAATTTTGTAAATGCATTTTTTTGCTAAGAAAACATCTGCTACCCCTTCCAAATGATTTTGAATGCAAGCTTAAGGGAGTTGTGATTTCCTTATTGTTGTGAGCTTGGGTTGTCTCCCCTTTGGCATTTATAATGAACTTATTTATGGAAAAGGTTGGGGAAACACAAAAATTGATTGTTGAAAGATATGCATCTCGGATGTGCAAACCTTGAGCTCACTTCAAGTAGATGCCACACTTTTTAATGTATGGCTGGCTGCTACGACAATCTATTTCTATATTTACACAATCTTATAATTAATGTTTCTATATATAATCTGTTGTATGTGTGTTTTAAATTTCGTTCATCAAAGGTATGTGTCGTGTGTGCGTTTTAGGACAGGAATTTGAACATTTTCACATATGTGTTGGTTTTAAATTTTTTATGATCATGAACTTAATTATTCTCAAAAAAATAATCATGAACTTAATCAGTTCAAACCTCATGTATACTTTAATTGTTCTTTCAATCACTTTGCTTTGTCATATATACATACGAAAATGATTGGGCAATTCAGATACTTCCAAAACTCGGTTAAAAGTAAATGCGAAGGCCTATATTCATGCCATACATTTCGCTAAAAAAATGTTCGTTCTTATTAAGTGGTTTTTCCTGGAAGATATGATCTTTACCTGCTATTATTTAGCCCCATATGTGTGCTACCACGTTTAGTTCAGTTCTACTCCAGAGAAGAAGGTGTTGTATTGTGGTTTTTTAGTTTTGGGCAATTTAGAGTACAAGAGAACTGATATATTTAAGTTGTGGCAGAGGATCGTAAGGTCTGTGGGCGCGGGCTATCAACAACAATGAAAAGATTGTTAGATATTAAATCAAACAGAGGAAAGCAGGGTAATAGGCCCTGTGTTTGGGTGATATGGAATGCATAGAATACAGTCATACAAGGTTCCACGACCAGATTTGTCTGCTTTCCATTCAGTCGATATGGTTTTTCTCGGAGAGCTGCCACAGTTGCGCAAAGAGTTGTAGTTTTAGCGGAAGAGAGACACTTGTGTTTGTAATTTACCCTCGCATTTCGCTTAATCTTCCCTAATGCATTGTTAGAAATAGAGTTGAGTTTTTCTAGCAGACTTTGAACAGCTGGACAAGAGCTAAGAGCTTTGTCGATGAGACAAACTAATGGTCGATTACAGTTGTTTTTCTTTTTGTGATTTACTCCTGTGTGTAATTTATTCTTGCCTGATGTATTTATAAGAAGTGCTGGAAAGTAAGCTCATTGTTGCCCAACTTTCTTCCTCGGCATTAACCAAATTTGATCCCTCTAGTGAAACAACTTCCACATGCAATGGCAAAAAACAAGCATCAACTGCAAAATCCAGCCCAAATTTGAGAAGCTAAAAGTTGTGTATCTAGCAGTGAAGCATTGCTAATGTTGTGCGTTGCAAAGGCTCCTATTACTTTTCCATAACATCCAACGAATAAAGCAGAAATGTTCCAATTCAAGATCAGATAAAGCACTTCTAGCTTGTTCAAATAACTCAACAAAACTTTTTATATCTTCCAGCTACCAACCAACCACACCGTGAAGCCTCCACACCCTCCACACCTCCCTGGCTATTAGCATGGCTACTGATTTCCGAATCACGTTAATGCATTCCATGTGCTTCCAGTATTTTTAATTTTAAACAATATATATTTTCTCTTTTTAACTTACAATGATTATTTCATTTTATTACATTTTCCGTAGCTCGTACTCAAAACGTCGTCGTATGGGAACTCTCCAGTACATTCACTTTTGTCTCGACATTCCATCTGCAAATAGTGTGCGTTCTTCTTTGTCCCTCAGACGGAGTGAGAATTCCCTCTCACTCTGTCTATTCTCAAGCAGATATTTTAAAATTTTCTCTTTCGAAATGCTCTGAAGCACAATTAACCTGATCCGAAAAAAAGCAGGAATTTACGTGAACTCAATTGCAGCGACCAGAAACACAAGTACAAGTGTGAAAGAAGACAAATCGCAAGTATACATCACAACCCAGAAACCACAAATCGTTGCTCGAATCCAGTACACAATTTATGTTCAAGGGTTAGTTTAAGGCTCACTTCAGCTTTTATATA